AATAATCCAAGCCTTATAATATGTATACACATGTACTGTGACTTATATTTATATATATATAGGGAGAGTGATTTTACAATGATTATTCATTTTTTAAAAATGTTAGAGATCTCAAAAGTTTTATTAAAATTTTTACCAAATATTTTACATGGGTGTGAGACTCACAAGGGACCCACATGACCTGGGTCCCATACCTATGTAAGACATTTGATAAAAATTTTGATAAAACTTTTAAGATCTCTAGTATTACTCTTCATTTTTATGAGATGAGACACACATATATTAATTAGCTATTAATAACAGCCATTAATACTAATATTTATCAATATTTACATATACTTCATGCAAACACACTGTTAATCAATTGAAAAATGCTAAAAGTTTCAAATTTTCAACTAAAGATTTTATCAAATATCTCACATGAGTGTGGACCCTACATTTTTGTAGAACTCACAGTCATGTGAGACATTAAGTAAAAATCTTGTGAAAAATTTTAATATCCCAAGCATTACTCTAACAAATTTTAGTAAGGACGAATTATACTAATAGTCCCTATAGTTTGGGGTTCATGTCAGTTTGGTCCTTGATTTTTTAATTGTGACACATTTGATCTTGAATTTTGAATCTTGTTTCAAATAAGGACAATTGAAGATATCATTGCTTAATTTTAAGGACAAAATCGTCAATTTAATAAAACATAAACTAATTTGACAAAAATAAATGTCAAAAAAATATTTTTAAATTTTTAAAAATTATTTCTACCCATCAAAGATAAAATCATATAAAATTGATAAATTTTTTACACGTTTATTTATTTATTTGTTTTACAAAATTAATTTTTATTATGTGTTTAGATGATGACCGTGTAATGGGTGGTTGTCAGGATTATAATGTATAATCGATATATTTAATATATGAAATGTTTTTAGTTTTAGATTTTTGATTTAATGGATTAGTTTAATAAAAATATTAAAGTTGTTGCCATATTTGACTTTTGAAAAAATAGAAACTAATTTAATGAAAATAAAAACTACCCATTACACGATCATCATCCAAACACATAGTAAAAATTAATTTGATATAAATAAATACATAAATATATAAATGTCTAGAAGATTTATCAATTTTACATAATTTTATCTTTAGTGGGTAGAAATAATTTTTAAATATTCAAAAGTATTTTTGACATTTATTTTTATTAAATTAGTTTATATTTTATCAAATTAACGATTTTGTGTTTGAAATTAAGCAATAGTATATTTAATTATCTTTATTTAAAACAAGATTTAAAATTTTAAATCAAATATATTATAATTAAAAAATCAAGGATTAAAATGATATAAGTAATAATATATTCAATTGTCCTTATTTAAAATAAGATTTAAAATTTTAAGTAAAATATATTATAATTAAAAAATCAAAAATTAAAATGACACAAACCCAAACTGTAGAACCGTAGTATAATTTGCCCCTTTAGTAATTAAAGCCATCTTTCTCTCTCCTAATCTCAGAGGGCTTTCAAATGCTCGATCAGAAAAACATCAAACTTCAATACAAGACCAGGCCATACGAAATATCAGATGAGTAATGGCCCACATTAAGAGATATCGGGCTTGATAGATCCTGTGTCTCAGCCCAAGTCCAGAGCAAATGCCCAGTCCCAAGGTGATCGGTCATATCATTTGGGATTATAGACCACAAGGCATCGGTTATGGCTTAACACAAGGACTAATTTCATTTTTATTTCCTAAATTATTATAATTTATTTTATTTTATTTTTGACCTATTAATTTTGTCTATTTATTTCTTAATTTTTTTTTATTTTGGTTCATATAGGCCAATTGGAAAAAATCTGCACTGTTAAAGCCTAATTTAATGGGGCAAAAAAATCATTTCAAAATTTGAATAACTTAAACCATATCATCAAATATTTTATTATTTTTATTCACTATTTTGAAATGCTGGATGGAAAAGAATATGAGTATTTGATTGTAGAATGTAAATTGTTTAATACAGTGTATATAAGAAGATGAGTATTTGGTTATATGAATTAAGTTGTTCATATTATAAAATTAACTTTTTGTCAATTAGGATTTAACAGTTATTGATTTAGACGGATTGTCTTTAATAAGACCATATAAATTTAAATAAAAAAATTGAAAGACTTAATAAATGAAATTCATAATGTATAGATGAGAGAGAAAACAATAATAGAGGCAATCCGTAAATAAATTATCTCAAGCCTCCAAATATGAACTAAACGCTCATATACTGTTCTTTATCTACAAATCAAATGAAGGATGGTGGAACCCAACACAAGAAAATTCTGCTCAACTCAAAGTGGGACTCATTGTGCCACCAATATTTATTATGATTCATTGTGTATACATAAAATTACTGTTTCATCTATAATCAAGAACACTCTTTTTTAAGTAATGAATAACAAACCATGGAGATTGTATAGTCCACAAACTGTTGTGCCAATTATGGGCTAGAGAATCTTCAACCAAGTAATGCCCTACTGAAAATCAACGATTACAAAGCACAAACCTACCTGCTTGCTCAGCCATTTTTGGCTATTAAATCAACCTTTGGTGTTTCAGTCCAAGACTACCCAATAGTATCATATCATGACTCCATTTGAAAAAGCATCTTTGTTGCCTTTTATTTTGGTAGTCTAGTAACCATATAAGTGAGCAGTAAAAAAGTAAAAAAAAAAATTTTAAAAAATTACTAAAAATATGCTGGCAAAACAGTTGAGAGAATCATCTCTGCTGAGTTCTTTGCAAAGTTATCAATTCCCTGTTAAAGTTTCTGTTGAGATTCACAGATAAAATGTAGTTTTTTAGATTATTTAGATTTTTTTATCCCTGAAATTTGTATCCTGTATGGAGAATGGCAATAAGGGAATAAAACTGTAAAGTTGCTTCCCTAATTGGCTTATGAATATAAAATAGGTATGTGTTTTGATCAAGAATTTTACAAGACATTTGTTGAGAGAAAAGAAAATGGTAGAAAAAATGAAAAATTAAGTTTATATTTTATTTTTTTTCCCTTTTGATGATTTTTTTTTTTTTTTTGATGCAAACACAATTCAAAATATTACGAATGGTATTTGTTAAAATTAACACACAAAACAATGCGCCAAATGCAAACTCCAAAAAAAGTACTGAAATAATGGTTGATTATTGCACTCTCAAGCAACAAGAATAAGGAATGAATCACAAGGCATCTAATTCTTATGTGAATACGGGACAGAAGGAATAAGTTAACCGACCTTGTACCTTCAATTAATCCAAAACAAAGTTAGGATAAATTACATTGAGCTCTCTAAAAATTAAAAATACTACTCCATAGTTGCATGGTCTGTGCAACCATGCTTGATGCTATTGTTCTTCTTCTTCTGTTATGAAAAACAAAGAACCTACTTTGATGAAATGTTTCAGAATATACTCAATTTATGGACAGCTGAGACCTATAACCATAAATAAATTCAAGAACAGAGAGAGAGAGAGAGATTCATTGATGCATTGCATCATAATCTTTGTTGAAAGAGAAAACACGGCAAGGGAAGGGAGGGTGGCAGTGGGTTCACATGGATTCACAGACTGACACAATTGCCCATTGTGTCAGCAGTAGTTGGACATTGAGTTAGTGAGTTTACAACAATTTACAAATGTCCCTTTCAAAGAAAATGACCCATTTCCAAGGAGAACACACTCAACAACACCACCACCGACCCTACCCCATCATTTTGTTCTCTTCTCTCTTCCAATGATCCCATCTCTTTGGCTTCTTCCCCCTCTTCCATTCTTATCTCTCTCTCTCTCTTCCGTTCATTTACGTTGTGTTTGATTAAGAGATTTGGAGAAGGATTTGGAAAAGGAAAGAAAAAAAATGGGTGAAACTAGGTGAAATATAGGTATATTTTATTTCCATTTTACTTACCTTTTCTTTTTTCCTTACCAAATTCCTCCTCAAACTAAACACACCATTAGACTCTCTTTAGATCATGAATTCCTCATATTTTCGTTTTTCTCTTTTTAAATTCCTACTTAAATTCATAATTCAAAAACAGAGTTAAAGGCCAACTAAATTTTGCTCACACACAGTTTAAGGCTTTAACCAATTGCCCAAGTTCCCACACAGAAAGTCTGAGGTTCGACTCTTCTCCCATTACACAGTTCATAGGTTTAATTTATGAGCCGCGAGTTTAAAAAACTGGATTGGATCTAAAAAACTTTGCGTAAATTGAGTTCTTAGTCATCAAAATAAATAAATAAAAAAACATGAATACATTAAAATCTTGCCAACCCCTTTCCTCCACAATAGACATCACAAGAACCTTCTTCAAAGCATTTCCATACATTTTTATATACTGTAAAGTCATCATTCCACGCCACCACTAGCAATTTGAATTTAAATAAAGAAAATACAAGACACAGAATATATCTTTTATATTTCATAGCCTCTGGCATGACCACTCCTTGGCAGATGCAAACAAAATGAATCTGTTATAATTATTATGGTAAATTACAAATACATCCCTTGATATTTGATTAAAATACAAAATGTTCCTATAGTTTTCAAAATTACATTCCACTCCATAAGATTTCTAATTTGATAACAAATCACCTCTTTTATTAATAAATCATCAAATCAATTAACAATTTTTAATGATGTTAAAAATATGTTTCAATTAATAATTTAGATAATTTTATTATTGTATAGGACAACAATTATGAATTTTTTTTTCTAGTTAATTCTGTTAAATAAAAAATTATAATAAGAGGATATTTGTAATTTTTTAAATCACATGGGGTAATTTGTATTTTAAACAAATCTCAGGAGTTGTATTTGTAATTTAGCCTAATAATTATTATCATTCAGAAAATGACATTTTTTGCACGATGAATTTTATCAATTTTGTTTTTTTTAACTTCTAATAAATCAATAAAACACACATCAAGTGTACATATGTAAAACTCACAATATTCAAGGGGTTACTATTTTTCATTAGATATGATGTTTCCTAAATGAATAAATACCGCATGTTATATGAAGCTACATACGAGAAATGGTTGAAAAGGCGGTGAAATACATCACAACCCTATTTTATTACTAAGACAAATTTTCTTTCCTTAATGGTTCAACCTTGCAAAAATATTTCTCAGCAATTAGGGGAACGATAGAGTATATTACACACCACCATATGTCCCCATAGTAATTTTACCCAAAACAAACTGCACAGTGAGAGAGTGTATAAAAATTTTGACAATTGGGTTTTGATTCAATGGAAATGTTGCTGCTCTGGCCATGGCCAAAACCCCGAATGATCATCAACCCCGGTGAACATGTTGCAGAAGCTTTCATCCGGAACCATCTGATCGATTTTCTGACACTGAAGGTCTGACCTTGATGACGTTTGCAGGAGATGGGCAACATTTGCAGCCTCAGTAGATGAATTAAGGAAGACATGTTTATTAGTACTTTGATGTGTTGTTGTGGTGCACAAATTGAAATCACAACTTTTCTCACTTCCTTTGCTCCATGAAGCCTCAGTTTCTTTATTGAGGTTAATGGGTCCAATTCCATTTGATTCTCTACCTTTTAAAGCCAGTAACTGCAACAAATTGGATCAACCAATTAATATGAAGCATATGAATTGATTGAAAATTACTATGTCTCAACCTTGGATTCTTTCACTGGAATGTAGCTTTGCGAATAAACCTCAATCAAATAATAAAATAATGGCAACTATGACCATTGGAGGGTGTAACACAATAAATAAAGGTCATGTTTGTTTGGGTGGACATGAGCTTGGGATTGGACTAATAGTCCAATAAAATTATTAATCTGATGTTTGGTTAAACAATTAAAGTAGGGATTAATTATTTTAAGCTTGACTATTAGTTAAGATCGGATACATAATCCAACGGATTCGTAGTCCTAGGACTATTAGTCATGGGAATGTTAATCCAGTCCGCCCAAACAAACATGGCCAAAGGGTTCTGTTACACTTGAAGCTTCCAAATCATTATGAAAGAATCAATAGACTCAAAAGAAAACCAAAAAGACTACTTCTTTTACAAGAATATTATATCTTACCCATCTTTTATCACTATGTTGTATGTGAATACTCTTAATTGGTTCTTTGTTTAGAAATAATTACTAAGAAAATAGTGAAGGAAAATAATACTGTGTTTTGTATATGGTGATATAAAATGGTAAAATAAAAAATTCAAAAAGTGGGATATATACGTATGGTTTTTCTTGAATTTATGTTTTGTCAAATTCTAAACACAAAAAAATTCCTCATAATTAGATAAATGAATTTGATTTTTGAGAAATTCTCTCTGCAATCTAAAAGATCAATGGCTATTTACTATGAAAATTTATCTAAATTTCTTCTTCAACTTACAAATATTAAAAAGAAAACAGAATATTTTTCACAACCATAATCAAGTTAAGATCCATTTCAAGATGCGACAAACCCACAAACATTATTTTAGAATCTATGCATACTGAAATGGGTTAGCGAAATTTTGTGTTCTCTGCTCTACTATTAGGAATCTGTAACACCTAGCTAGGATCTAGGACTTGTGAAACATGAAGCACAGAAACGAACCAGCACCCAAAACGTATTAATTATAGGATAAATTATAAATACACTTCTTGAGATTTGATTAAAATACGAATCGTCCCATGTGGTTCTAAAAATTACATTCCACCTCCTGAGGTTTTTAATTTCACAACAAATCACCCCTTTATTAATAAATCATCAAGTCAATTAATAATTTTTAATGATATTAGAAATATGTTTCAATTAATAATTTAAGTAATTTTATTACTGTATAAGAGAGTAATTATAAATTTTATTTTTTTAATTAATTCTATTGAATAAAAAATTTTAACGATGAAATATTTGTAATTTTTTAAACCGCATGAGATAATCTCATGTGTATTTGTAATTTATCCTTAATTCATGTAAGAGCAGTGACTACAGTGATGAGATCATCATGAAACTAACCTCTGAAACAAGTTTCTTGTTGTGAGCCTGAAGGGCATCATTGTCAGCCTTAAGTGCCTCAAACTTTCTCTTCAAGAGGTTGTAGTCTCTCTCCAGTTGCTTTGTCTTCCACCTAGCCCTCCTGTTTTGAAACCATATGGCAACCTGTCTTGGTTGAAGACCCAAAGCCCTAGCCAGCTGCAATTTCCTCTCAGGCTCAAGCTTGTTACCCAACTCAAAGCTTTTCTCAAGTGCCTTCACTTGTTCCATGTTTAACCTCCTCTTCTTCTCTCCAAGTGGCGATCCATCGTCATCTGACATCTCATCGTCTACGTGCATTTCTTCACACTTGCTCCCAATACCTGAAAAGGACATGGATCTCCTCATTTGGGCTGGTGATGATGAAACACCTGCAACTAGCAGCAGCAACAACCAAAAAAAACCTAGTTTCAAGTTCTTCTACCTGAACCAATAGAATTTTTCACCTGTTACAGACTAGCCACAAAGTCATGCACAGAATAAAATTTTCCCAGAGAGTGGTTCTTCATATCACTATGGAAGTCTTGAGGTGAACATGAAGAAAGGATGTTAGGAGAGGTGGAAGGAGAGTGGTTGTCTTCACGGGGTTGAAACATGAACTCAGCTGAGACAAATGCCATACCATCCAAATCATATGCCCAATGGTCTGGTCTCTATGCAAAAAACCTAATAAGGGTGTGATGGAAGTCTGACTTCTTATGATGTGTTTTTGGAGAGAGAGAGAGAGATGGAGTATGTTGTCTAATTTATAACTAAATAGATTCCAATCACATGAGGTGTGATGGTGCCTGCATATTTGGAGCTGATGCTTTGAAAGATTGTACCCCCAAATAATTGATACAATGTTTTTAAATCAAATCAAACATTATAGTCCAGAAGGTACAACCCAAAATAGCAGAAAAATAAAATTTCCAACAATGCTTATTCAGAAAGAGGTGAGGTAAAAAAAAATTAAATTGGGTGGAAATTTTTTTGAAGTGGCAAATTTTAATATGTTTCAAATATACTAAAATTTTCTTTTATTTCTGAAAAAACTAGAAATTTCCTAGATGTTGATTTGTGATTATGTATTAATTTTAAGCAGAATATAACAATCCCAATCAAATAATCAAGACAAAGAGACACAACGATTTTACGTGGAAAAAACCACAATTGGACACCTCCAACTGTGATAAAAAAAAAATCACGGACAACAGCCACAAAACAATCCATTAAGAAGATTTAAAGGAATTATACAGGTATACTCTCAATTACCTAGCGAATTCAAGCCTAATTCAACCAACCTCTATGTGTCTCTCCCAACCCGTCTTCACCTCAGAATTGTCTTTACGATGAGCCACCCCGGAATTCACCAAAGCTTCATGCTCGAATTCTTCAAAATCCACTGAAGAACAACTCTCTCCTTTGTATAGCAAACAAAACCTTTGATGTACTCTCTTTAAACCATGAGTTGAATACTCAATAAAATATCAAAGAAAACTCACAAAGTATCCCCAGATATAAACCCTAGAACCCAAAAAGAAGATCTGGAGAAGTAATCCTAAAATCTGACCCAACACGCGAATTTATAGAATCTGTCCCGCGATCTCCGCTCGAGCGCCCAACAGCCCGCTCGAGCGTCTTCAGCAAAATATGCGCGTGATATAACAGAGGTCTGCTCGAGCGCTAAAGAACCCGCTCGAGCGCGAAATCACACCTTCCAGTATTTTTACAGACCTGACAAACTTCTGAAACCCAGCATTCTCCGCTCGAGCGGGGTCATGTCCGCTCGAGCGGAGAGGCAACTTGGAATGCATTTTTACATTTTGCTTCGGGGGCGCTGCCCCTCAACCCTGCCGTGGCGCTACCCCGGACCCACCAAGGGCGCTGCCCCTGGACCCCCGCGAGCTGACCGGGCAGCTCGATCCCCGTCATAATCAGCGAAATGGCAATCTTGAAAGCATTAGCATCACAAACTTCTCTGAAAGACACAATTCGGGTTGGATTCGCATCTAAACACTCATAGCCTCATTGAAATAAAAGTGCAAAAATAAATACAACTGAAATGAATTTTGTCAAACGAGATTGCCAAGAATAAAACCTAACAATTTCCCTACTTGTTTTTGGTCAAGAGTCAATCTTGGATAACACACCTTGAGTTAAAGTCAAATATTTTTATCGCTACACTACACGAGTCATATAAAATGAATTTGTTTGTATATCTTGAATATGATAATTTATTTTCTTCTTGGGTGAATTTGTTTTTTTTTAATTATTAAATTATGTTTCAATTATTTTATACTTGGAATTCATACATAACCTTAGAGATTAAAACAACAGAACAGAAAAGAAAAAATTGAAGAAAAAGAATAGCTGGCAAACAATTTTGTGGATGCGTTTGACGAAGGTACATATGAGTGGTAACATGATTTGATAATCATTTTAAAGTTTTAACATGACAAAAGAATTGGTACAATGTTCCACAATGAATGAACAGTAAGTTTGAGAACTCAAGCTTATCAGGTTATCATCTCAATTTTGAGTCAAGTGTATGGTAGAGAATAAAAATATATATTGTGAAATTAAGTATAAAATAAATTCATTAAAAGTATATATTGCGTATAAAATAAATTCGATGTATACACTAATATTTTTTGAGTAAATTTTTCTCGATTGGTAGCATATAGGAATGGCGGAGGACTGCCATGTCAGCCACCACTGTCCAATCCAATCAATGTTTGACACAGAAATTGGGAAGTGAATGGGATCATCGCATCATGTTTATTACGAGAGTGTTAATGTGGTGGATGATTTTAATATCTTATATTTATTTATTAATTTATTTTTTTTATAAAGAGGGTTTTATTATTTTGGTAATTTTTTGGTTATAAATGGAGGTTAAATAGAATTTATGAACTTGGTTAATGGTCATTATTTTGGTGTAATCATTTTCTCTTATTTAATGGTCATTATTTTTTAGTATAACTATAGATCCTAGTGGCCTATAAATAATCCATCTCATTTACTCTTTTCTACACCACTAACACATCAACTATTTTCTATACAATAAAGATTACTAGCAAAGAAGGGTGTTTTATTGGTGGAGCTTTGGGTTTACCATCTTGTGCAGAGTTGGCCTGAACCATACGACAAGTAGTCGGGCTGTTGTATCCTGGAGGGGACAAGTCATAGTTTTGTGACTGCTGCATCGGTATTGGGGTTCTTCCTACCGCAGTGGGCTTGATCTCCTTAAAGAAAACGAGATATCCCTGCCTCAGTCTGATCTATTTGTATATCATTTTCTTTGCATCATTTATCAATAAAATATAATTTTTTCTGGTATTTTCACCAACAATTTTAAGGAGATCAACCATGGAGCAAGCACAAAATTTCCAAATGATAGTTGCAGAAGTACGATCTGAAGGCATCAAGATTGGTGACAACTTGGTAATTGCAGGACTTGTTGACAAGCTACCGTCATCCTAGAGAGAATTCCAAAAGAGCATGCGTCACAAACAAAAGGAGACTTCGTTAGAGACGTTGATCACTCGCATCCGAGTAGAAGAGGAGGCTAGAGGCCAAGATGCATTAATAACACAAGCGAATAATGACAATTCTACCACAAAGGTAAACTTTGTTTCAGGAAATAATTTACCCAAAGGTCATAATTTCAAGAATGCTTATTTGAAGCCTTATAAAAAGAATATGAAGAATTATGGTAAACCTCACAATAAGTGGATTAATCCAGATAAAAACCAAGGTCCATCACCTCCACAAAATTTCATATGTTTTGTCTGTGGCAAAAGTGGGCATATTGCTCGAACTTGCAAATTCCGAAAATGTGTACCTGCCCCAAAGGCTAACATTATCGAGGAGCCATTTGTGGCTATGATTACAGACATTTGCATGGTTAATTATGTGGACGGTTGGTGGGCAGATTTTGGTGCTAACAGACATGTTTGTTATGATCAAACCTGGTTCAAGGTGTATACTCCCTTTGATGATGAGAAAACAATTATGCTTGGTAACTCTAGTCAAACCAAGATACTTGGGAGTGGTGAGATTGACCTTAAATTCACCTCTGGACATATGCTTACTTTAAAAGATGTGCTTTATACACCGTCCATGAGGAAGAATTTGATGTCAAATTATTTGTTGAATAAGGCTGGTTTTAAGCAAACTATGGAATTTGATCAATATGTGATTATCAAGAAGGGTATTTTTGTGGGTAAGGGTTATGCTTGTGATGGGATGTTCAAATTGAATGTTGAGATTAATAAACCATCTACCAATTCGGTTTTACATGTTGTCTTCTATTAATTTATGGCATGCTCGCTTGTGTCATATAAATAGTAAATATGTGGGAATCATGAGTAGTTTAGAATTAATTCCTAAAGTGACAAAAAATTTTGAGAAATGTGAAGTTTGCAGTAAAGCAAAAATTACCAAGAGACCTCATAAAAGTGTTGAAAAAATACCGAATTGCTAGAATTATTTCATACTGATTTGTGTGAGTTTGAAGGAATTTTAACTTGGGGTGGTAACCGATATTTTATCACTTTTATTGATGATTTTTCAAAATACACAAACGTATATTTATTAAAACATAAAAGTGATGCTTTTGAGAAATTTAAAAAATTCCTTCTTGAAGTGGAAAATCAATTCAGTAAAAAGATTAAAAGAATTAGAAGTGATAGAGGCCGAGAGTATGAATCGCTTAGATTCAACTCTTTTGTTCAGTCATTGGGAATTATTTATGAGACTACTCCACCATATTCACCTTTATCTAATGGTGTAGCTGAAAGAAAAAATAGAACGTTAATTGACTTGACGAATGCTATGCTTATTGATTTAGGTGCTCCCTCAAATTTTGGGGGTGAAGTTATTTTGACAGCTTGCCATGTAATAAATAGAGTGCCACACAAAAAGACTAAAATTGTCCTTTATGAGTTGTGGCGGGGACATAAACCAAATCTAGGTTATTTGAGGGTTTGGGGTTGTTTAGCTTTTGTAAGGCTTGCAGATCCTAAACGACCTAAATTGGGTAAACGAGCTACCACCTGTACTTTTCTTGGGTATGCATTGCATAGTACAGCTTATAGATTTTTTGATATGGAAAATAATATTATTTTTTAATCAGGTGATGCTATTTTTCATGAAAATAAATTTTCTTTCAAATCTAGAAATAGCGGGGGTCAAATAATATCTGAAAATATTTTATCTATGCCTAGCTCTTCTACTCCTTCTCAATTTTTTCAAGAAAAAGAAAATTTTCAAATTCAACTAAGAAGAAGTGAACGAGCTAGAGTTGAAAAAGATTTTGGCCCTGACTATTATCTTTACAATGTGGAAGAAATTCCTCTTACGGTGCAAGAAGCTTTATCATCACTTGATGCTATTTTCTGGAGAGAGACTGTAAATGATGAGATAGATTCACTACTTTCTAATAAAACATGGAAGTTAGTGGATTTACCTCCAGGTTGTAAAACTATTGGGTGTAAATGGGTCCTTCGTAAAAAACTTAAACCGGATGGAACTATAGATAAATATAAAGCGAGGCTTGTCGCTAAAGGCTTTAAGCAACAAGTAGATCTTGATTTCTTTGATACTTTTTCTCCGGTTACTAGAGTTACATCCATTAGACTGTTGATTGCAGTGGCTCAATTCATGGTTTAAAAATTCATCAAATGGATGTAAAAACAACATTTTTAAATGGAGATCTAGATGAGGAGATTTACATGGACCAACCGGAAGGCTTT